TGACATACCAGAGTTCAAAAGAGGACAAATTTTTGGTGCACATCTTGTTGGTGCATCTGTGACCAAGACAGCAAGTCTGTGATTTATCAAGAGCCACAGTATCCAGGGTAATGTCAGCATACCACCAAGAAGGACCAACCACATCCAACAGGATTAACTGTGGACGCAAGAGGAAGCTGTCTGAAAGGGATGTTATGGTCTAAAACCAGGTGTTTCAGTTTCATTCGCTACATTCACACTGCAGGCAAATGCGACCCATTTCAGATTTTTTTATGACAGTCAACGCGACAAATCCCATTTTTTTCACATCCGACCCAGGCTGTTTCAGTATGTGGTTTTAAATCAGATACATATCTGATGTTTTCAAAGCGATGGCAATGTGAACGTTCATGTCACATTACATCTGACTTTTTCATCAATGAGGTAGGGGTGAAGGATCGATAAGACACTAACCTCAAGTCACACTGTTTAAACCTGTAGCTCCTTGTGTTTACAGCTCCAAAACACAAGTCCAGTTGCTTCGTCTTTTTACTTATGATTTTCCATGTAGATAGTATGATAATAACGATGTCCAGCCTGGGTCACGGAGAGTATCGATCCTAAAGTTACTCGTTGATATTTTATTTCCAGCTCGTTGTTTCGTTCAAAAATAAAAAGCTTCACTGGAGCATCCCGGTCAGAGGCAGGTTCAGATAAAAACACTGAACAAAACAAGTGTCAGATAATTAGTTAATCGGCTCTGAGATTAAACAATTTCAGATTCGATGTGCAAAAAGTAGCATCCATGCTAGCTCTGTAAACAAACAAGCTGAATGAGACGGCACGTCTTTACTGCACATGTGTCACATCAGTGCTGTGTAGCGTTCACACTGGAGTCTGATGGAGGTCGCATTTAAAATGTAATGTGAACGTTCACACCAAAAGATAAGATTTTTTCAAAAAATCAGAATTGAGCATTAAGACCAACAGTGTGAATGTAGCTATAGTCTAACTCCTGTACATGAAGGGCTCTATTTGATTGGTGAAATACTTAAAGCTTCCATCTGAGTGACAATAAATGCAAAATTTTGAGCCAACCATTTATTGCAGTTTATACAGTTTTTTGCGATATGCATATTTTTAGGGGTCACCTCGAGTGAAATAATCAAGAAAACTGTCTCTGATCGCAGACCTCTGATGGGCCCTTTAAAGAGWCAGAACTCTGTTCCGGTTGAACACACAGGCTGTGATCAGGATGACAATAAATTTTCCATATATTGTGCAGCCCTATTTCCAGCTACATGTTGTAGACAATGTAACCAGGTCATTCAGCTTCTTGATCTAGCCAATTACAAAAAGAAAGGTCAAATAATTCATACGTGGGCCATATTTTTATTAATAATTTACCAGTTTTGTTTTCTCTGTGTTTCAGAATGAGGCAGTGTAAAGGTTGGAGCTTGGTGCTGTTAATCCTACTGGGTCTGGGCTCTTTGGCCCAGAAGCTGCCAACAAGGGATGAGGGMCTCTTTCAGATGCAGATCAGAGACAAGGTGTTATTCCACGACTCTTCGGTCATACCCGATGGAGCTGAGATCAGTGGCTACCTCTTCAGGGACACACCCAAACGGTGAGTGCAGTGAGCYAATAAATGACACAATCCCGGAGATTAAAAGTGTCTTCTAAAATCTGAAAACAAAGCCTAACCAAACTTCACTTTGGGCTGATTCATGATGGAAATGTAAAACATGCTGATGGGCTGTTTTTGCTGTAAATATACAAAAATCARATGTTTCTTTGTAGCACAATCTATTATGTTGATCCAAAAAGTAAATAACGTCTGAAAAAGTCTGAGAATGAACCAGGCAAACGGTATAATATTAACTCTGCTGTGTGTGTCGGTCCACGCACCCAGTTTGGATAACAGCAGACTGTAATGAAGTCTAAACGCCAGTCTTCCTGTTATTTTCACAGGTACTACTTTGTGGTGGAGGAAGACAACACACCCTTGTCTGTGACAGTGACACCCTGTGATGCTCCTCTGGAGTGGAAACTCACCCTGCAGGAGCTGCCAGAGGAGTCCAGTGGAGAGGGATCAGGTATAAGTGACATCAGGCAGCAGTGGAAGAGGTTAAYGACACCTAATGTGGAAATCTCACTATCCCCCCTCACAAACAGTTACACAGCACAGAGATGTTAGGCTTTGTGTTCTGGTGGGCTTTRTTTGTAGTGTTTAGTCTGACCACTAATGAAGTCTGCTCAACCCAACTGAATGCCTGTAATTAAAAAGAAAAGGGTTTCTAGTCAACCTACTAAATTCAGCTCATTATGTCCCTTTATATAAACTGATTTTCTTGAGGTCAATCACATCGTTCCTCTGTGGTGTCTGCTTTCCATCCTCTTTTTATTTCTTTTAAAAAATGCCTCAATGGGGCTTCAAGACAGATTTTGATAAACTGGCAAAATGGGGCTCACTGTTAAAGGGCCAATATTATGTGTTTCTCAGGCATATATTTAAATACTATACCATAATAAAGTATCTATGCCACCTTTAGCTG